CACAGCAACAAACATACCAGCTTTGACAAAACAACCCCGTGGGGTAAAGCTAGTATTTGAACTGCCCTTGCACATGCATTACAGGAAAAGTGCAGAGAAGAAGAAAAGTTGCATAAATGTGTTCATTTTCTTACTTATATGCTGATTGTCTATCTTATGAATTCTAATATAGTGTCATTATGCAAACAATTAAGTAAATACCTCCAGAAAGTACATTGCTAATGCATCTAAATTAAAGTGATTTCTTGCTGGTGTGATTTTTACCATATCTAAGGATGTACTTTGGGCAGGGAATGGGGAGGAGGGAGAAAAAAAGAGGGGGAAAAAAAAAGGCAGTCAGCATTGCTAATGAAATTTGGTTCAAAATTGCTGTAATCCATTTTCTGATGAAGTGGCTCAGATGCATTTTACACAACCAAAAATATATAAGAGAGATAAAAACATTCTTTAATAATAATGCACTTCTGATGAGATGGAATATAGAAAATTACACACTTGCTAAATTCATCAGACTAGACGCAATCAACAGAGCAGTGGAGGTCACCTTTCCCCTGCCCTCGCTTTGCTTTCATAAACAATCACCTGAAATGTAATGCAGTGGTTGACTTCTTCCATTTGATTTAGACACTGAAATGCTCATTATTGTTTATATTTCACACAGGAGAGTTCTAAAACTTATTTTCCATTTAACCTAAATGCATATGAAAACCAGATATTGAGACACTGGTCCATGATAACAGAAACTAAATTAAAACAGGTTTGTTTGGTTTTTTTTCTTTAAAGGCAGGAATTGTATTTTGCATCTTGCATATGGCTTTTGGTTTTTTATCACTACAAAACTACTTCACAGATCCACAAGATTATACAAAAACATGTAAGGGACATGCATACAACCTCAAGTCTAAAATAAATAAATAGATTAGTAAATAGATCAGATAAAACAGCACCACCATGATTCTTCTTACCTTAGAAGCCAAAGCCTCAGCACTTTCACGGCATGTCTTCTCAATTTCAAGATGGTTCTGAATACAGTTTACTTCCTCAATAACCATGTGAGAAACTAAGGGAAGAGTTCAAAAATTAGTCAGTATTTTCCTGAGTTTGACACATGCCTCCCATGATCAGAAATAGCATATCTTTTTCTGCTAACTTTCAATGTAAGCATTTCAGATACAGACAGGGAAGTACATACTTAGATAATCTATCTCCACAGACAAGAACTATTTTGAACATTGAATATTTGGTTTGTTTCTTTAAGCAACTCTGTCAAGCCATGCCAGTAGCATTGAAGGGGCAACTGTAGAACTGAGTGTAAACTTATGGAAGCAGAAGGTCAGCAGGAGCCTCCCTGACCATGCTCACTCATCCTGGTTATTTCACCAACACTTGAGGACTCAGAGTGAGACCGTGAGGATTGTCCCTTAAGACTGCTAGCACCATCCTCTTGAAATGTTGGTATGGACACCATTTTCAGAAGAGTGGAAACCTCATTATTTTCAACTAACTTGGGTGTGTTGCAAAGATTCTTTTCACTTTCCAGTCTTCAGGTTTTTTTATGTGGTATTTTATGTATCATCACACTTGCTAAACATGTACTTGAGGAGCTGCAAGATGGACACACGGTGACTGAAGTCTCCATATGCACAATATCTCCTACAGCACATGCTCCAGTGAAGTTAAATTTAGAAGTACAGGTACATTTTGGCTTGCAATTCTACTAAACTTCCAACAGTATGTGGTACTTCACTCGTGACAAGCTTAAAGTTGCACAGGAGAGCAAAGCAGAAAACTCAAGAAGAGGTTGCCATTTCTCAGGCTAGCACCTTGCTCACTGATGCAATTCCCCCTTGGCTCCTGGCATCCTCATCCATCCTAAGCTGCAGCCTGGACCCTAATTCTGCATGGTACAGATTCCTTCTCAGCCCACTCTCAGGATTTCAATGCAGGAAGGACCATTTGCAGCTGAATAATAATTTGGATATCAAAAAGGACTTAGCTATCTCTCTTCAGTATTTTGGCAAAACCTTTGGAAGAGGGCAAGGAGAATCTTCTACCCAGTGGTATAAAATTACAAGGTTTTAAAGCTTATCTTGATGAAAATGAAAGGAAACACTAGAAAAGTCATCTGTATTTACACTATATTCTTCCAGCCTTGTTCCTGCTCCAAAGACCATCTTAACAACTACAAAACAGGACTTCAGTATAGGAGGAGCAGGCCCTTAGTGTTATTTGTGCACCTCTATGCTTAGTATCAATTGAAGTTCTTGTCATTAACATAGGAAACCAGCAATTTGCTGAGTAGCTGCAAGCAAGAAAAAAGTTCTACACAACATGAGCAGACAAAAAAGAGTTGGGCAGGGTACTGGGAAATCTTGGTCCAAAAACTATGTTCACATGAAGCTTTCCAACAGCACAGCAACCACACCTCTTTCTTTGGTTGTCTTTTGATTGCCATTTTTCCTGACTTTGGAGAAATTATCTGTTCCAAGCATGCTGTACC